ACCTGATTTCAGGGTGACAAAATGGATGAACTTTTATCATTCACATATGGTGTTGGGTCGGCAGACACGTTAAAAATCGTTATAAGATGGTCACTGTATCCAATGGTGAGTAGATGATGTTGCAAAACAAGGCAGACCTGTATTTTGCTGTTGTATGGAACCCCGAGGAACAGGCTCACTGTAGTGTAAAATCCATTTTATTGTAGTAATAAAGCCTTGTTAAATTGACCGGATCATCAATGCTACGCTAGTCTGAGCTTGATTGTCGCCCAAACAACTATGCTGGAAAAGTAGTCTGTTTCGACCGGTTGTATCCCCGTGCACTCGGGTTCACCGATCATTTGTAGTCCTAAACGTTCAGTTTTGATCATGACAAGATCAACCCCGTCGTGACTTGTATTGTAAAATGTATTTATTATATACATATATACTTATTATATGTATTGCCCTTTTATTAAGGCTAGTATTCCAGTCACCTAATTAGAAGTCGCACTCCGGCTAGAGCTCACCAGCGGCACCCATCATATTCCGTGACCGAATTCAGAAGCACTTGTGTCCTTCATCGTTTTCCGGGTGCATCAGAATGTCAGAAATTCTCAGAGTGTTTACCACCTGACTGTCACACGTGTTGTTTGATTCGACAGACATACAGCCGTGGATTCTTGTTACCTTTCCCTATAGTGGGATTCGAACGAAATTCGCCTCAAAGAAGGGATCATACACAGCTACTAGGCTTCTGAAGACAAAGCCATTCAGTTTCCGGGGTCTGATTCGTTCACTCCAATGCATTAGTCCGACCTGTTGGTTTGCTGTCAACCTTGAAATGCAAACCACACAGGCAGTGTTCTCCCGAATCCAATTAGTTAATGAGGCAATTTTGGCTTCATTCATCGAGACACCGGGGTATTGATGAACGTGGTCGATAACCTAAAAATAACAGGCTTCACTCCACCATAAGAAGAACTATAAACCACGCAACAATAGCTGCTCTAATCAGACACACGTCGAAATCCCCTATCGATGAGTATCAACGGATTATCTTTGACGCTGTTATATATAGCTAGTTATGTGACGGCCGAAAATAATCGTGAGTTTACTCTTGATATCGCAAATTATACGGTCGTCCCAATGCGCTACGAAGCTGCCTGTTTTACAGCGAAATGCGTTGAGTTGTGTGCGTATAAACAATATTCTGGCAAATGCAGCGATGTCTTCTTTTCACATTACTTTTTGATTGCTTCCCCTTGCTAGCTGAAGGGACCAACTGCGAGAACCCGCAAATTCTCACTGGAAGAATTCGACTAGTCTTCAACACTCCCGGACCATTTGGTGCGCCAGGCTCACGAGCACAAAATGGCAACTGAATCATACCGCGATCACACCCAACTCAGATATCCCCAGCACTTATCAAAAGTATCGTCCTACGATCAAAAATGTCTCTGAGTGCAGAATAGTACCCGGTTTCAGCTTCACAGTTGACGTTACAAACTTAGCTGAGCTTCGTGCTTTTGGATTTGACACAAAAGACACCACGAGTATTTGCTCGGTCCGCATTTTATCTGGAAACGTCATCTGAACCCCGCTCGACGATTGTTTTTTAGTGTGTCGCTTCATTTGCTCACATCTGAGTATGGCTGAAACTCTGAGCTTCCGACGATTTTATAGGTGTTCGTGACTGGATTGTGTGAACGGTCTGTGACAGGTAATTAGACCCGTCTGAAATTTCCAGGAAATTCAGGCAGATGTACCTGAGCATGGGCGTATTAGCGTCCCTTGGTTTATAGATTCTAAACACCGAATATTCATTTACCAAACAATCAGTTACATTTTCGTTGAAAAGTGTGACAACGTGAAACTCACCAAAGTATCAGTTTGATCGTTTGGTGAATTCACGCGAGGCCGTTCAAAGTTTGCAAAGGCGCAGTTAAAAATTTCCAAGAATCTCTAGAGCGCTGTAAATATCATGTGCGTTTGAACGAAACATTGCCCATCTGCTAATTGATTTGAAAATCATTAAACGCCAGTTAAAGAAATGTAGTGAAACTGTTATTCTTTTCTTCACCGACATTTTTTAACCAGCAGTTGAACTCTGGACGCCGTCAGCAAACAGAACGGATGATGACTGTCCCAGAGCGGATCAGCCGGACAACCCGAGTAAACAAACACATCTGGAGGGACCTCACAGGTGTTTGGTGTGCGGCAAATCATTCTGTTATCTGTCAGCAGCTAAGAGACACAATGAGGTGCACGAGGAGGATGCCAATACTCAGTGTAGTTTGTGCAAAACGTCGTTCCGGAATGGGCGTTGGTTGCGGCAACACATGAGGCGACTTCATCTTACGGGAGACGAAAAGCCTTCCAGAACAGCCAGTAAACGAGTGCAAGAATCAGAGCTACGGGGAAATCCATGTCCCAAATGCGGAAAGTGCTTTGCGACATGGGGCATTCTTTCTCGGCATCTGAAATGGTCCCACGGTGAAGAGGCACGTCAACAATGCGAGGAGTGTGGGGCCTCTTCCCGCGGAAATCAGATTTGGATCATCATACAAGAACTGTGCATGGAACGCAAGGCCACCACATGTGTGAGCAATGCGGGCGAACCTGCTCTCGATCTGATATTCTCGGGAGACATGTTGCAATGAAGCACACCGATCAGCCGGACGACAAACGGCTAACTGTTGAGAAACAGCCGAACTAATTATTACACACCCACAAAATGTATCGTACCTATGATGCCCGGTGTTACATTCCGTTTGAACCCCTTCAAATTTTTATCGTCCTGACAGGAATTCGGTTTGTCTCTTTTTTTTCGGTGTATGCTTGCGAGCTACAGTCCACATAGACTTGCACCTGAAAGCGATCCGGTAAACCCTGTTTCTGCTTACGTTCAAACCCGAAATATATCATCTGGGATGCTACCTGGTTCAATGATGTGTATTCGCAACGAGGTCGCAGTTGACCACACCACGTATCACTCCACCAACGACGCTTTTAACCAAATTCGTTAAATAGCGCGTGTTTGGCAAAACTGCGCGCAAGTGTATCACGTTGATAAAGAATTATTGATATAGAAGAATCTAACACATATAAATCGTGAAGCTGATCTAAACATGACCACGGGAAGTTGATTCCCTGATTGAAATACGAGTGTGGTACCGCGAACTGCGGTACTAGCTGAACTGCGATTTAGTCGAGATTTCGTTCGGCCGCTGGTGGATGAACCATTAAAACTTCAAATCACCAGCAGGGGAGTCGCCGTTTCGAAAATCGCTGTAATTATTTGAGACGCGGTGCACGTTCCAATGCGATGAATTTGAAATTTAAACAGAAACGCGGAGTAACTGACTCGGTGTTCCAGGTGAGCTGGATTGTATTCTCATGAATGAAACTACTCACAAGGTTGCCGAAATCTCTTCGACAGCCCACGACCGGCTCTCCAGGTAGGCGCAGCCCCGAGTTTTCGTCAACCTAACGTTCTACCTGAACCCGAATCGAAATGTTTTCGAGAAATTCTCTCATTTGCATATAAATTTGGTTTGATTTTACTTACAGGGGAAATCCCCACAAATCACATCCTAATGCCCGCACGTAAAAACAAGAGGCTCAAGCGATTTGAACTCCAGCTTCATAAAACCGGTTGCCCTTAGGTAAATCAATCGGAATAAATTGCTGAAAAGTTCCTAGGTCTCGTTGCAAGCCCTCAACTTCACACCGCATGTTGCTCTAATAACTGGTCCGTCATCCATAACAAGATCTCTATCGGGTTACCGGCGTCACTCGCTGTACATCCATCCAAGCTGAATTCAACTGATCCCAACATAATATCTGCGTGCGCATATTCGACGCTCTACGATAAAGAGGGAATCCCTTGCAAAAGTCCTTCAGCTTCTGGCAACACGGTGCATCGTATCTCAAAACGGTTCTCGAATCAGACTGCATGTAACGCCGCAAATTGTGGGTTCTACGATGGAGCGATGTTTCGCAAACTGTGCACCCGATCGACCCAACGAGTTGAGTATAACCAGCGGATTTTCGCCGCTGATGCCTGCTTCGGCCAGTTTCTCAAGACTATGCACTGCCTTGAGGGGCTTCTTCTGTTTCGCTCCTGGCAAACGGCCTAGGCAGCTTCATATCTCATCCACCGCCTGAATTAACAGTCGATGTCAGCCATTGCAATTCCGCTTCGCAACGTGCAGCTCACGAGCCATGGACTAGCTCGTTGGTGTTTTGCATACAAAACCCTCAAGAGAGGACAGCAATTCATACGTATTCATTTACAGATTAACAGCTGCGTCGTTATGCATTTTATTCTCCATTGACCGCTACAAAGCGGACTACGAGGCAATGCAGTTTAATTGGGTCCTATTCCACACACAACGTAATGATAGTCCTCGGTCCCAGTATGCTCAGCCGAGTTTTAATTGCTCATTATTTTAGGACCATGATGAAAGTTAAGGCCTAGTGCTCAGGCAACTGAATGTGCTGCAACAGGCCGCCTCATGTTGTGGGGATTTTTGAATCGTTTCGACCTTTCGTCGGTACACCTTAAATCCACGAATAATCAACACGAACTCGTCCACTAGTCTACTAGTGTACTAATGTGACGGTGATACTACTGATTAGGAAAGCATGCGAGTAGTATGTTCACTCGTAAATAAGATGCATATGAGAGTTTTGCTCCCCTCTCCAACAGTCTGTGGGGGGTGAGTTAGCATTTTCTAATAAATAATTCCGCACATACATAAAATAATGATATAAAAAAGCATTACGCCGGTCGTACAGAAATGACAGATGTTCTTGTTCTTGACACAGAAATATTGGGTTTCCAGAACCTCATTTGTAGTCTAGCGAAATAAAATCAACAAAGCTGTACTCTCCCAACACTATTGTGATAATTAGCGGTGTTGGGTTTGTTCTACCAGACAATTTGATTTTTACAAAATTGATCAATAAATTCAGACAACGTGTCTTCATACCACAAGACCATCAGGATCAAACATATGAAACAGGCAACGACGGCAGGCACATCCAGACACAAGACAAAATTCTCTTTTAATGGGCATTATCAACATACACTCGACGCTGATGGTGAAATCCATGGCGGCCCAAAATCACGGTGAGTGTTGTCTTCTAACACAAATCGTACAAAGTGAGCAGATCGGCCAGGCTACCATGAGTAATGGCTTCAATTCACAATGAAACCCTTAACTATGTAGTGATTATGTGTCAGGTTGACTGAGCTATAGTTGTTGGTATCCATGGGTCATCATACCTCGAGAATCCGCATTTCTTTGCAGAGTGATGACTTGTGTTGACTGTGTATATGTGAAAATCTTCAAAGAGTCCACACGGTAACGGAAGTGCCCGTCCAACGAAGCCCGTTGTATATAGCTGATATATCCTGTCCCCGATCCCGGGCACCTGTTACTTGTGAGCATTATTTGCCCTCCGTTGATGTCGTTCTTTGATGCTTGAGGCTTCCCAGACGTTGTTGATCTAAGCACTGAGGTCAGCCGATTGAAGCACAGAGTCTCTTGTATGCGCAGCCCTGACCAGGTGCGAAAATCGCTGTAAAGTTCGTTCGTTTCCCCGTACATGTAGAGAATTTGATGAATATGATGATGAAGCTGTCAAACATGCTACATTGGTCGTCACTGGTTCTCGCCCTGGGTGCCCTCCGGAGTTATGTTATCTACGGAGTTCAGACAAATAAGCGTACTGCATTGTACAATCCAGGTATGCTGTACAAACCCATTTATTATTTAATGATACGTAAGTCTGAACCCCATCATAGCAAAAAGGAGAGGAACAGACAAAAACCCACTATCTGCGTAAGCTCGTTTAAGTTTCTGAATAATTTTACGTTGTGAACTCCCGTTTTGATTAGGACAAGTTCTAACCTGTTGGTTTTGTGAGGTAGTGTGGAAATCTTGAATGTTTTTAGGCGTTCAGCACTAGCATTTTGTTTTACCCAAGCTGCGTATTCATGTCAGTCCCCACTCAAAATTGATCCCCTTTGCAGGCATTGCTGTAGGACTCCAGAAACTTGGTCTCACCTCATGCCGTCGGTGATCAATTTGGAACGGACCTGCTACTTCCGGTTCTGCATGGTGCTCTGAATGCGCTCAAACATCAAAAAGTAACAGAATGTCAGGCAAATCTGAGGTCTTCTTAGAAAGATGCCCTGAGTCCACCGACATACTTGAAGCAGTGGATTCTAGTTGTCCTGCCCATATTGTGGTCCTAACCAGCTTGCTATGAGAAGTGATACAGGCATCAAATTTGCTCTCCAGGCAGCACAGTGAATTAGTCGCCCGAAGTCTGTGCCTTGCCTCAAATTATGCATACAAATTCCAGACTGCCTAATTTATTTGTCCTACCAATTAATTCGGGGGTGGAGAGGGGACTCATGGAGAAAAGGAGCGCAAATTCAGTGATATACTTCAAACAATCATATAATCGGCTAATTTTGGCTCCATTCCAACGAAACCAATGATATCAACAAACGCGATCAATAAACTCAGATTGCACATAACACCTGACCAACATGAACAAACCTATAAAGATACAACAAGGACAGATCACAGCCCGAGGGGACTTTTGATTTTTGATAGAGAATTTAGACTATTGGTGAATTCGGTCTGTATGGAATATTCGCGAAACCGCACGTTGCCACTATTACTATCAGCCGACCTCATCCATGCAGTTTCCGGAATCCCCAAGGCAGTTCGCACCCTTAAAATCCAAGCTAACCGTTCGGGATCGACCGTCCTTCGGCCATAGGCTGCACTTTAGAGGCGTGATCATCTTGAACTTGGGCGGGATGAAGCTCTACTCGAAATTCTCTAAAGGAATAGCGTACGTGAATTCAGATATACCCCATTTGAAGATATAAAATTATCGTTCATTTCTGCGACTGCAAAAGGCATAATAAGTTGCGAAATCTTCATCTGCAATCTCTCTAACAGCATTTGACGAGCACATCGGAGGAAGAGCGCTTGCCAGCTACCGGCCAGTGCTTTGTCCTCAAAACTGCGAAAAATAATTGCGAGCCTGTGCGTCCTACATTGCAAATGTCATGAGAATGTGGTCAGAATGGGTTGCAAAATGGCTCACCAGTTTTAAACACAACTTTTGTGTTGCTGCTGGTACATCATTTAAATGAGTTCTCGCTGTCCATCAGTCGCTTGCAATGAGGCAAGTAGTGTAATCCACCGAAGAATAAGGAAGATCCAAACAGATTCCATTTATGTGAGCTGTCAATGGCAAAGTCGCTTAGGCAAGTTTGTATTGTCAGTTTTCTTCTGTTTGTGCTAGATCAACTTATTGCGAACGTCTGAGCCTGGGTTTTGATCAAAATCCAGGCTGTCTAGACACGTGAACTCTCGCGGGAAGATCTATAGAACCCGCACCGACTGACCAGGAAACGTCCACAGACTGCCGTATACCAGGTGCATGTGTCCGCTACTATAGCTAATGAACTATCGTCTACTTGGAACAATATTGCGTATGATATGTCGATATCATTTATAGTTCCTGGAGATTCCCCGGCTGCTCAGAGCTATCTGCAGAGGAGGCGGAATTGTAGTGTAGAATAAAGGAAATACGCCTTTCTTCCATAAAACCCTCGAGCTGGAGCAAAAATAACGTGGAACAGGTTAGTGTTCGTGTAAAGTGCATAACTCTTTTCTTCAGATCATTTTATTTTCAATATGAAAGTCACGGAAAGTTTATCAAAATAGCTTAGTGGTTCACCAAAGCGGCCCAATTGTCACTGTATTCCGTAGCACCGCTCACTGTTTCTCCAGAGCTTTCTGTCTTGATTGGTTTCAGGTTAGTTTTTGCTGTTTCTCAAATGTATTTTGTCTGGTTGTTTACGAGAAACCATTGTCAGCGATTCGTGTTGCAAGTGAGAGCAATATGTACCGACGAGTGTAGCACCAATGCACAGCTGTTTAGTCCCTGATGTGAGTCACTAATCTTTACGTGGATTCCAGCTTGCGATTTCATGATTGGTGAATCAGGTTTTTCACTTGCTGCTGGATTTCACTTTGTGTCTGGGTTCGACTGACTGGCAGCCCTGAATTTGATAGTTTAAATGCTGTTGCACCCGGAGGAGACATACGTAAGCGTTGTTGTAAATTGCAGTCCATTAGTGCCGTCTTCTTACTGCAAATCTCGGTCTGGATAGCCGCCTGATCGCCTGGTGCGCTTGAAAAAAAACAAAAAAATGCACGAACACGCGAGCCAGCTGCTCTATTGATCACTATCGCGTACAATCGGTCAAAAGTGATACTCAGAATACAACTGACTGTCGAGAGCGAGTGAAGAACAACCGATGAAATCTCTCTCTCAACTAAAAACGGTTATTTCATTGACACTTCTATAGTCCTTGAGAAATAGTTGCCTCCGGACTACTGAATAATTGTGTGTAGTGCGAATTGTTTTGGGGAAGTTGGATATCACAAGTTAAGCAATCAAATGTGCATCACTAGGTTGGAGAATTAATGGATACTTGGATCCGAGCGCACACGTGACTGTATGGGGATGATTGTGAGTAAATATTTTGCTTGTAGAAATTGTGAAACCAAGATTCTGGTATTTTCCCACCAGCGTGGTCACACTCAGTGGACTCTCCGTGGATTTCGATTAGTTGTTTGGGTTCGGTTGACTGTCAGATCTAAATATGGTATTTCAAGTGTTGTTGCATCCGGGGGAGTCACGCGTCAGCATTGTTGTAAATTGCAGTACTTTAATGCATTCTTATTGCCGCAAATCCCGGTCTGGATAGCCCCTTGCTCGCCTGGTGCGCTTGACCAAACCAGAAATGTCAATGAACGTGCGAGCCAGCTGCTCTATTGATCACTATCGCGTACAAGCGGTTGAAAGTGATACCAAGAATACAACTCATCTGTCAAGGGCGAGTGAAGAACAACCAATGAAATCGGTCTCAAGAGCAAAAAGGTTAGTGTATTGGCAGTTATATAGTCCCCTTACTTTCGGAGCTTGTCTTTCCAAGCACGCGTCTGCCTAGCCAGGTCCTTCCGAGCGGTGGTGTCTAGATCGTTCGTTGGAACGACTCCAGTCCGGAATGGAAGGCACCGAATTGATGCTCATAACATCCAGAACGGGACAAAATATTATGAAAAAATTGCCTATGGGCGAACGTATCCACTGAAACATAATTAGACTGACGGCGAGTTGAACAAATAGACAAAAGGAGATAACATCATCGGTGCATGGTAGATCACTTCGCGCTGCTGTTTCCGGACGCGTCGCTGTAAAGCCTCACAAGACAAATTGTCAAGCTGACAGAAAATCCGGTGTCCGAAAACCTGGCCAACTAACACCTTCGTCAATAATACGTTATTCCTTTGGTTGAATGATTGAAAATCTACGAAAACGGAAACAAGCATTTAAAATATTTATTCAGAAATAGGGACTGGGACAATATATGTGCTACGCGGTCACACAACGGTCATCAATTCCGGTTTGTCGGTTGCTGAGAACTCAGACACGAGTATCGATTGTGATCTTGGGCCCTTCCCAATTTGATTGCCCGAAAACCTCAAGCGAGAATATAAACGTGAGTTGGCCTAGGTTAGAAAAAAAGTATCCATTCGCGTCAGGACGAAACCAAGTTCTACACACTGTGATACTCAGTGTGTATTTATTCTTCTGTAGTTCACACTTTATCAAATATCAACCAGTGACACTGGATTTACTAAAAGTTTTCCATTATCCTCCCCAGGTCCCGGAACCCTGCTCCGCAGGCTCACAAATATTGCCCTGCCCCTTGATGCACAGATTCTCCACGCGGTCGCAGACCGTTTCACATGCAGCAATATTCGTCAGAACGCGTACATGGGCGGCCATGTTCTCCGGGTTCACGAACCTGTAAACGCGATGTTCTGGAGCGTAAACTGAATGCATCTGCATGCATTTGTCCATAGTGCAGTTGCAGCTCACTTGAACGCTTGAACGGTTGAAGAAAGTTGTGTAGATCTCGCGTGCTTCAGTGTATTTTTCGGAAGCTCCAATACTTTCGAGAGGACTGGGAACCCTTTGTCACACCCTGGACACTGAAGGTCTTTTTGTTCCGGTCAATCAGCTGAG